CCAAGGTTCGATACTTGGCCCTATTTATTCTTGATTTTTATAAATGATCTTACATCTGTCGCTTCCTCGGTAGCTGTATATAGCCTGTCTGCAGACGACCTATATGTTGTTTTACACTTTTCTCGCACTGATCTGACTCCATTCATAGAGAAGTCTGTACAAAGAGAGATAGATAACGTTCTTTCTTGGTGTTTGAAAAACGAGATGAGTCCCAATGTCAAAAAGTGCTTCTACACCTATTTCACGTTTTGTGAATCTACTTTACGTCAACTCTCCTTATTTGTTAATGGTAAAGTCCTCGAATCCGAAAATCATCCCAAAATATTGGGATTACGCCTATCGTATAATCTCACCTGGATAGCTCACATTAATGAAATGGCGCTAGCCTGTAGAAGGATGATTGGGGCCCTTTATAGAACATTGTCTACTTCTTCGAAGAAAATTCGTCATATTATTTATATGTGTTGCATTCTACCTAAAATCAACTACAGTAGTGCACTTTTTGACTCGGAGTTCTCCACTCATCTTGAGCCATTAAACCGGGTACAAAGATTAGCTGCGAGAATCATTAGCCAAGACTTTAACTATTTTCATGAGGTTGTATCCACCCTATTGCTTCTAATCTTAGTGTACGGCAGTATTTTCGACTGACATCATTTTTTCGTATTATTAATAACCTTACTATACTTGATTCTCCCAGTACCATTCCTTCTGTAACTGCGAGACATTCTCAACACTTGAACCATAATCGTTCTGTCATCTGTCCGTTCGCTCGCTATACTACAGTTCAGTCGTCATTTTTCTATAAAACCCCGGTGAAGTGGAATTCTCTGCCAATTTCACTAGTGAACTATCAATTTTTAAGACTATTTAAAAAACTACTGTATCAACATTTAGAACATACTGTTAATTGACTGTATTTTACTGTGTCTGTGTTCATCATTTTTCTGTTTTCCAGCTTTTATATCTGTCTGTTTTTTATTTGTTTTTTTTCTTTGTTGATTGACTTTGCATAGACAGGGCAGGATTGAATAAGGTTAGATTATACTCCTATTGACTAGCTTTTTAGCTACTTTTTTCATATACTTCCATTTTGATAAATAAAGTTCAAGTTCAAGAAAAAAATTAATTACTTAAAAAACCTTGTCCGTAGTTTCTCGAAAAGAAAGCATTTTGGAGCAAAAGTGTGTCGACAAAATTGTTCAGAATGTCATTTTCTGTGAGATAAGACTTTGCTGCCTCGAAGTCCTTTAAGCTCAAATTTTTAATTTAAAAATTTACGCGATTTTAAAAACCGTAATTTTGGATTAAAAAATCGAGTTTAAGGAATCTCGAGGCAGCAAAGTCTTATCCCACAGAAAATGACGTTCTGACCAACTTTTGCTCTAAAATGCTTCCTTTTTCAGGAACTATGAGTGTGTTGTTGTGAAAATATTTTCTTGTAGCTAAAACATTAGAGAAACTTTTTTGTTAAATTTTCGCAGTTTGTAGAAGACACTTTGAAGTATATGCTCGGAAGTTTTGAAGATCGTGGGGCACTGCCCAACCACCCACGGATTCCTGCTTACACCACTAACTTGAACTGGCTCTTACTACGCGCGCAGTCCTCTTGACTGCCTTTCTGTAACTTCTCTCTCAACACAGTCGAGAATACATACGTAGAACATCATCGAAACAATTCGGTGATAAACATTCTAACGTATTGATAGCAATGACACATAATGTAGCTTTTTAACTGTAGCATTATAAGAGAAACCTATTTATTAGGATCTGATATTCGTAATAGCATTTGCATCGTTTAACCTCCTGGAGATCAGACTGAGTTTCTTCCACAGAATAGTTATTTTCAGTGTAGCTAATTAAATAGTAAGTGTCACAGTTTTATTCATATCGTAGGAAAAGATTCATAGAAGAATGTGCTTTAGCGTTTTGCTTGATAGAATAGAGGCAGCACCAGGATTGTAACTGGTCTGAAATTTTCAGGCCGAACAGAGCCGCTCGATTCCAAATGCTAGACCGAACCTGCCGCCGGTCTCATAACTCGTCTAGACCGATTTTTCGAAAACTTGTAGACCAGTGAAAAAAACGGTATATCCAATTACTAGTCTTCAAAACAATTTCAAGTTTGTATTGAACTCGACAAATAGATAGGAAAATGTTTTGAAAGAGTTCTCATTTCAGGACCTTTCCACTGCAAAAGTTGAATAAATTCTGGACAGCACTGAGACAGAATGTAATTTTTTAACTGTCGCATTAATAAGAGAAACCTATTTATTGAGAACATAATTATCAACAGGACTATTCATAAGAAGGCTCGGATAAATTGAATTAAGCGAAAGATAATTTTTTAAGGTAACAACTAAGAATTCCTTATGTACCCAATGTGCCAAGTAAAAATGTCTTCTACATAAAATAATGCTATACGTATGTCACAAGACGCACAAAGAGCAAAAAGATCTACTATCACATCACGAAAAGCCAGCAAAAATCTAAAGATCTCTGAGACATACAGTTTTCGTTTTCTATTAACAAGAAGAAGTTATGACTGCAGGTCCATTGTCCTTACTACTTTGGTACAGTTTGAAATTCTTTGACGCCATCAATTCCTTTTTGCCATTGTGGACGATCTTTACAGAAGAGTTCCAGACCTGGTTTTGGAAGTTGATCGAAGAGACCGAGTTTGACAACTTTCATTCCTGGTGTAGTCGGCGACTGTGTATAGATTGGCGATCCACAATTTCCGCAGAATGCACGTTGTATAATATTGCCACTAGCTGTATTGCTGTCGTTATAGATTTGTGGCTGACCTCGAATTTTAATATACTGTTCTGGAACAATAGCAACCAGTGAGGCTGTTGTACCACCTGTTTGGCGACAATTCTTACAACGACATTGAGCAATCGCTTCCGTTCGGTTGAGTGCCTCTTGTGGAATAGTAACAGTAATTTGACCACAGAGACAACTACCAGAGGTTGATCCTGAAGCGCTCATTATTTCTTGTTTTCTATGTCGTAAGGTGTTGTTTGATTACGAGAGTGCAAGAGAAAGAAGTGAATGATGACAATCAGTGAAAAACAAAAGAAATGACAAACAAAGGCAGCATCCATATCGGACGTTCGATGAAAGAGAGAAATGGGTAGACCAAAAACTGTAACGTCGAACAAGAAGTTCAATGAAGTAGCATTTCCTTACAAGCACAAACTCTTTTTGAAAAAGTAGAGAAAACACTCTGTAGTTATTGCAGGCCATAGCTCTCAGTCGTAAACTTCTTTTGGCAATAATCACCAGCGCACAGTGAAGCATTCAGGCTATCTTTCAGTGAAAACTAGAAGTCCAGTTCTTTGTAACTTAATCAGCATCATATGTGTCGGCCGATTTAGCCGCTAAAACGTTTTTCGTATGACTTTTGTGAATCAGAAATCTGCTAAAGAAATTATATTCCAAATGACTGTACTGAAAACTAGAGTTTCCAGTCCTCTGAAATAAAGAAATAGCAACTTTCTGTTTGGATTATTTTGGACCGCAGGGTATTGCCAGCTTTCTATTGATAAATAGGTCTTTACTTTATCTAAACACGTTTTGGTAAAACCTCAGATTTTTATTTTGAAAAAATCAAATTTTCAAGAACTCTTGGTGTACTCAAACTGAGGGCTTTTTCATCACACTAATTCTCCTTTAATTTAGGTCAAACGTTTTGTCTCCGACTCTTGCACCTACATCGAATGGAGCTTAATATAATCTTTTGTCTAAGCTGAGATGTACGTTTTCTAGAGAGCTAGAGGTTTCACAATTCCAGTTAGAGGCCTTCTCGAAAATAAGTGATCGACGAAGCCCGGTAGCATCAGACAAGAAGTGGTCATTGAGCAAGGTCGATTTTTACCAGACTGCTTTAATTCATCTCCCCGAAGGGGAAAGAGGATTTATATATAATCACTACTTTTTTGTTCTTCGTCTACTTTTCTTTCATGAAAATGACTTTGCAGAACACAAAATGAGTAAATATCAAATACTAGAATAACACAACCACTCAGATCGTTTTCTTTTGCTTTGTCATCGTGATAGAAGCAGAGAAAGAGAGAGAAGTCCTCTGATGAGCTTTCTACCTTCTTAAAATTACATAAGAATAAAAATAAATATTTAGATTGTGAAAAAAACATTGGTGACTTGCAAAAATAGACGATCATCAGAATGAGGCACGATGATTTTAAAAGCGGTAAAAAACAAAGGAAGTTTAAAGTAATTACTTTAAACTGCCTTTTACAATCTTTTCAACGACTTTGACGTTTTCTAAATCTGGGATCACCACTTTAATACCTTTACTAGAATAATTAATTTCATATTGAACAAGAACTAATGGATGAATTTGTGTGTTGTTGGTTTGATGAGTATCAATTGATTTTGTCAGCTACAACTGTACGGTTTCTCAGATGATCTCTGGAAAACCATTTATAGTTCAAACGTTTTATATATGGATCTGTCGATTTTTTTACATACACAGATAGTCTAAGTATCGTCTACAAAATGAGGTGTAAGCAAAAGTTTCCTATTCCTCGATTTGACAGATACAAAAGTATTTCCCGTCAAATACACCCAATTCTTGTTTATTATTAGTTATTTTCATCAAAATTTAAAAATTTCGTTCCAGTTCATATAAGAAACAGCAGCAGTTAACATGTCAGATTCCATTTCAAAATCGACCTCCATCATTCGTCTGTGAATGATACCTGGTAGAATATATATCATTCTATCCAAGAAAATGCTTCCATTAATTGATCACGAAAATGTGGACCTTTGGCTGATATTAATGTCGTTAATTCGTTAATAAGATTGTGTTCTTGATTTTATCAGCTACAACTGTACGAATTGATACTCACTTTGCTATTCTGCATTTTTAACTTGACTGACGATACAAGGACTATTAATACGAATTGAGGTTGAAAATATCTGTTTTTTTTCTCGTTTTTCATGTTTATCTATATACATGTAGTTTCTGTGTTCTTTGTTATTCGTTCTCCTGATGATGCCGAGTGTTACTCGTCGAAAGCTTGAGATAGAATTACTGTGAATTTGAATAAAATCTAATCATGTACTTCGTAGCAGCATGGTACTATCTAATTCATTAATTCGGTAGGTGGTTCCTACCATCATCAGACAATAAACGTTTTACAAAGTGTCAAAAAGAAAATTTGGTGTATACATAAATACATCGAATAATGTAAACCGAAAGAAAAACACATGAAATAGTACAAAAGAAGCTTTGTTTCTTCGTTTTCGGACCGATAAAACTGCACTCGTAGTTATTGTACGAACAACCGGATCAGATCTAATAAACAGACGAGAAAACACATCAGTCAGATTGGGAATGTGTCCGATCTTGCGTGCCAAATGTTCTCTATAATTACGAACATATTTGTTGGCGGCTTCAAGTGCTTCCTCTGATAAAGCAACGAGCGCTACATTGTCATTTTTTGCAATCAGTTCACAGCAATGAAAGAGCAAAGGAAACATTATTAGTCACGTTGTGTAAATTGTGAGTGATTCAGTATAGAAAATATGTGAAGAATGGAAAAAATATCCAGGTTCGTGTGACTCTTATAGGAAGCATTTAAAACACGTCCAAATTCTTGGCTCAAAAAGCCAAAAAACTTGTTTTCGGAATTTAATATGCAATGTTCTAATTCATTAGATGCAGTCTTTCCCACTAATCTCGAATATGTATAGATTATATCGAAAAAAATCATTTTAAGGTACAAAAAGGCTTATTTTACCCTGAAAACCAATGGATCTTTGAAAATCTCCAGAGAACACCAGTGTGATTTGGGCGGGCCTGATCAGAGTTGGAACCGGGCCGGTGCCGGTCCGATCCGGTGTAAAAGTTTAGACCGGCCGGTCTCCACCGATCTTTTGCCGGTCTAGAAATATTTTCAAACCGGCCGGTGAGCGACCGGTTTTAAATTCTTAGCATTTTTCTCTTCTTCGTTCAAGAAAACCGACATGTTCTTCAGACATTAAATTTAAGACAAAATAGAAAAACAAATACAACTCTATGAAAATTCAGTAACTTACAGCTCATTACAAGACAATAACCCTTTAGTTTTCTGGAGAGAACAACAACAAATTCTTCCTATCCTAGTTAAAATTGCAAAATCTATTTATGTTATTCAAGCATCGTCAGCTGAATCTGAAAGACATTTTTCAACAAGTGGACAAATTGTCACTGAACAACGATCACAATTAGGTCCTGAATGTGTTGAATCGTTAGTAGTTCTGAAAGAAGCATATTTAAGTAATAATTGGCCAAAAAAATAAGAAGTTTTCATTTCTTTTGTTTGTGAATATTTCGCGTTCTGGTTTGATTCTCAGTTTGTTTGGTACCATTTAATCTGTTGCAGATATTGTTGTAAACTGGAATTAGGACACTGCAGAAAAGTGATAACTTCAAATAAACAAGTAACAGAAATATGAAAAAGCTAGTAAAAATGACTTTTTCATTAAAAATATTTTGATTTACTGATAAAAGCGTCTAAACCGCCCAGTTTTTTGCCGGTTTTTCACCGTTCTCGAAATTTGTTGAAAACCGGCCGGTCTTTTTGCCGTTTTTCACCGGTCTAAAAAGATTTTTGGGCCGGTCGGTCCGGTCTACTGTTCTGAACCGGCCGGCCGGCCTGGCCTCTTATTTTTAGACCCCAATCAGTTTCTGCACAAATCTTTGCCACCGCAGACTTTCTTCTTCTTGCAATAAAGGGTCTTTCAGTTCTAATCTGATTAAATAGGCTTTGAAAAAAACAGTTTTTTGTCCAAAATCGATCAGAACAGCTCAATTCGATTACAATTCCAATGTTTTAGTACAGAATCTAAAATATTTAATTTCATTTTATCTTTACCAAATTCACCATGTACTGTGGAACTAAATAATAATCATCGAGTATCGAATGACCTGTACTTGGTGCAGCCAGCACATAAACTCAAGTAGATCCTGATTTTTGCCATTGGCCTAAAATAGAGGTTTTACAGAAGCTCTGCGTTTTTCGTTTTCAAAACTCTTCTTTTAGATTCACAGAATCTCTATTGTTTTCAGACGTGTTGACAATTCAAAAATTCATCTAAAACAGAACGTTGTTTCATTAAAAACAATTTTCCAGTACAAATGATCGATTCTTTCGATTATGCGTGAATTCCAATGTGAAATTGGACTGGTACGTTTTATTACATTTGACTTCAGAGATGTCTAAAGCTAAAGAATAGTGTATTGTGCGAAATGCTAAAGTGAAACTTTTTGTCATTCTGAGATATTCTGGTCTGTTTTTGTGAGGAGAGGAGTGTGAGTAGGATTATATAAGATCGTGTTTAGTCCGCTGTAGACAATCAATTCGCTATATTTTGGCGTAATTATAATTTACAGTACACATGCATACTATATGAAACTCGCCTTTCAGTGCAATTGTTACGTTATTTAACTTAAAACAAATAATATACGTTGCTGACAAGGCATTTGATAAAAGTTTCACGTCAAAGTGTCATATTTTTCTTGGAAAAATGATTCAACCAGAAACCGTTCTATAATCAAATACAACCTCCAATTTGTAATTCGTAATTAAGAGAAAAGTTCATCACAATTGGAATTCTAATTGAAAAACTGTACAAAATATAGTTCAATTCGTATGTCTGAAATATGGTTAAAGAAAACAAAATGGAATGTATCAAACTTAAGCTTACATTTGAAAAAGTCTTAATGTGTTGACGCTATCTCACAGTATATTTATTTGCGTAAAATTTGGTTTTTTTTGTCGTTTTTTCATGATTTATAAATCTTTTTCACACGTTGAACTTGTTGTCTGCATATTGGACACTGCTGGAACGATTTTGAACAATTCAAGCAACATAACATATGTCCACATTCAAGTACAACACAATCAATATCAGCATCAACACATATGACACATTTGTTATTACCGGAACTATCATTGTTTGTTGATTTATTATTACTGGAACTATCACTGCTGTTTGAATAAACTAAAAATAATTGAAACCAAAACAATATAAATAATCTTGTTTCTTAATTCTTAGTCACGTACAAGCTGATGATTGAGCTTGTGGTAAACTAGATTTTGTATACACTGGTGATAGTTTACCAAATACAAGTGACATTTGCGTAATTAAATCGACTAAATTTGATTTACTGGAAACCTAGAGGAGAGCGAAGATGAAGTAAAGATTCGAGATGTTCGGTTCTCAACTAAAAACCAAAATGATAGAAACCACGGTTCCGATCTTAAAACAGAAGCGCAGTTCTTAGTTCTCCACTTAGAACCGAAAATTAATTTTTCCAACAGTAATAATTCAACGAAATAAAATTCATTTTATAGTAAACGAAATGATTCTTTTAAATGATAACAGGCAAATACATTCTTTTGTAGCTTTGTCAATAGTCTGTTTCATTTTGTTAAGAGAAAGGCAAGTCGAAATGTGTCGGTTCCGAAAAAAAGGTATCGTCTAAAACACCGCGGTTTCGGTTCCATTGTCCGAACCGGCAGCGCGGTTTTAATTCCTGATGAAGAACAGAAAATAAGAGAACTGCGGTCAAGGTCCTTAACGAGAACCGAACATTCCTAGATCGACATTTCCAAGTAAAAAATCTTGACTGCAGATCTTGATAAAAACTTGAAAGATTTCTGTTTAGTTCTTTCAAGGTCTTATCCAGATTTATCGTTATCTGATAAGATCTTGAGATTATCTTGCAGTTCAAGATTGTCGACAAGTTTTGTAACAGAATCTGTCTGGAAAAAACTTGATCAAGATTTGTAACTGATTCTGACGAAGCAATTAATTAGTTATTAATTAATTAGCAGAATCTTGGCAGTTTTTCGATATCTCTGTAAATGTAGAATAGGTTTTGAATTGTTTAGGTATTATTTTCATTTATTTTTATTTTTATCTACTGGATTCTATTGCGCTTACTCCTCAGTACTGCACAATTCACAGCTCTTACATTCAGACCATATCGAAGTTGTTTAGTTGAACGTTATGTCCATAATATACTTCAAGATTTCTCAATATTTTACAGTGCGGATGCTGTTTTATATATATATATAGGCACTACAAAACAAAAACGGTGATACAGACAACAACAAGATCTTGCTACAGAATTCTCAAGATACATCAGACTTGGAACCGTAGTAAATCTTCATCAAGTTTTTTCAAGGACATCAAGTGCAGAGGTATCAATAAATCTTAGTCAAGAATTTTCAAAAAAAAAAATCCTTAAAGAACTTGTGCAGATTTTCTCTTTCTGCAAGACGTAGGGCCTTATCACATTCGATTCTAATGTAATACTATCTTTTAATTTGTTATTCATAAGCTTACTTGATTCCAGTTTTCTAAATAAGGAATGTGAATGGCTCCATTTTGATCTACATGTGTATTCGCTTTTATATACATATTTGGCGTTGGTTTAACGTAACACATGGGAGCCGAGTATGGATAATTTTGAGGTATCCACAATTCAACTGGAATATTATACCAAGCACCTAGATTAACAAATATAACATTCAGCTACTGTTTTATGTCTATAATGAGGACACTTGCTTTTATATTCTATTTCAATAGTTCCAACGAGACATAATAACTCTTCAGATGATCCGTCGGCAAAATCTGTTACAATAAACAAACAACAAAAGAATAAAAATTTGAGGCTATATAAATCCCTTTACTACGCCTACCATAGAGAGACAATTTCAATGACAAGTTATTAAGTGAACGTTCTAATACTTCAGTTATATCATTTCTTATTCTTTGGCGATTATGAACCTGAATAAGAAGAATTTGACTAACTTCAGTTTCAAAACTGTATTAGGTATGTTACCTGAGCGCTATTGATTAAATCAAGAATATCCTTTTGAACCCAAGCCATTTTAGCATGTACGAAATCTAGAATAGAAGATAAAAAAATCACATACTGAACCAATAATTTTCACGATAAAAATTCAAAATGCAGGTAAAATGCAAAAACATTCAGCAGTCCACTCTGTAATATTTCGCCTCTATGCAGAAAAGCTGCACTATGTGTATCACTTAACAAGCTTCGAATTAGATCTCGGCGTGTAGGTTTGACGGTAAGGTGAAAGTGAGGCACGAAATGGCAAGTCGTTTGAGGATATCTTAGATACCCTCATGGAAAAAAAAATGGCAGAAAAATGAATTCGCAGCGAACGCAAATTGTACACGACCTCAGTCTCCTCCACTCGATAGATTAAAAATAAAATCTTCATGTTGAAAAATGACTTTACGAATTGTAAAACAGTCAATCTGAATTTTTTCGTAATCTAATTGCGATGAATGGCTCTAGTTGTGTGTTCTTTATTGTAAACTATAGCTGATGGTGAGTATAGATTGTAATCGAAAGTTTCGATTTTTGAACTAAAAATCACTTATTGTTGTGTGCATACGATTGTTATTAGCTTTTCTAACATTCTTTTTTATTTCTATGTGTGTACTTTACCGACAATCTTATAGAAAAGATAAAAAGAAAACTCATCCACATTCTTTTTTGTTTTCTGTCAGCACCTGCATTTTTTACATAGTGATTAAAATATGTAATAACAATTATATAGTAACTTTGTTTTTGTTTTATGTATCTACTGGGAAAAAACCAACAAGTATTTGATTGATGATGTATGGTATAGACTCATTATGGAGGAATGTACAAAAATATCTACACATTTTTAGATATAATTGATTTCTTTATCTATAAGTAAACATTTAATACCAGCTAATTTTCAATATAAGAAACCACAGCATTGTAAACGTTTGTAGATATGACAGCTCAATCAGGTAATCAACTTCAATTACTATCCTATCAAAGACGACGCATCTGAGTATTTTAAAATAACTTCTAAATGTGAGGTACTTAAGATCTTCGCTTCTCACTATTATATACCCAAGACCTGGTTGCACCTTTTCCGGAACACAATGTCTTTAAAAGCAGGGTTTACGATGATGTGTTTTACGAGTTTTGAAAGGAGTGTTCGTATTCAAAATATTCGTGAGATGCTCTTCTCCAAGAGTTATCACCATACTGCAAGAAGATCTCCTGAAACTAAATTCTGGTATTAAGCAGTGTCAGTTTCGTAAAAACTGGACGACGTTATAGACTTTTAGCGTATGCTGATAATTCGTAGAAATGATGCCCTTGGAAAACTTTGATAGTCGCGTGGCGTAGCACAACAAATAATGCCACCATATTCAATTTGGTCGATGAGCTATATTTTCAGTTCTTTTTAAGAGTACTGACTGCTGTAAGCGATCCGTTGAGCATCAATGAAACTAAGCCTTTCCCCTAACCATGACAGTTAGTGAGCTCCTATTTGCGCAGATCGATAGAGGACACTTTGGACTGTATCGCCATAAAGGGAGGGAAATCGAAAGTTTATTCGAAACATTCAACGAAACTGAGTCACTTTTTTGTGACCTTGAAAACTTTCAGAAAAACCAAAGAAAGTTTCACTAGAATGATCGCGAAAGAACGTCTTTTAATTTCTCAATGAATCCTAATTATATTACTTATCGTTATTTTCATTTCTTTGGCACATTTCAGACAATGAACAAGGAATAACATTCAGACAAACTCCAACAAATGAAAGCTAATGAAATAGCAGCAAAAGAATATGTGATTAATACATGGAAAAACTATAAAGAACTGGTAATTTATCCCTCACCCCAACTCAGTCTGCCCACGTTCCTAAATAATATTCTAAATGATTCGTCTAACATATTTACGCATATTCCTCTTAGATTTACCACCAGCTAGCCTGCACAACCGCCAAAAAACCAAACAATGCAACCATTCCCCGATCGTAAATCTTTTAGAGTTGTTTTTTTTGGTTGACGAAGAAAAGCAGTGCATGGCAATCGATCGAATAGCGTTCGTACTGATCAATCCCGATGGAAGCTGACCGAAGTGTCATCTTAACTACTTCGAAAGATTTCTGAATATAATATGTAAGATATTTTGTGAATCTCCTATAAAGGTTGCGAAGGAAGAGAGATGTAAGCTTAAGTCCATTGTAGGACGGAGAAAAGTATAAAAGACGACCAGATTTTTCTTGTAATGTTTTAAATTCAGCATCTGTTATACCGGAGCCAGGTATAACAGTGTTTTTTGTTAATACAGTGTTATTTTCTAAATATAATTGTGCTACTTGCCGATGTCGAGCATAGTTTATACGTGACATCAGCATTTTGATTTTCAAGAGCATTATTTAACATTTTATACTAGATACATTCTTTTGTATACCAGTTGATAGCTGTCGTTGAATTACAGTGAATCAAATTTTACCACAGATACTTCAAACCCTATCTCAGGTTCATTTCTTTTCGTTTCAAAAAATATGCTTTCTCGAGATATCCCAAAAATGCTGAAAGTCACCCGAAAAACTCAGTTTTTTACAGGTTTTTCTGCGTGACTTTCAGCATTTTTGGGATATCTTGAGAAGGAAAGCATATTTTTGAAAAGAAAAAAAGCGAGCTTGAGATAGGGTCTGAAGTATCTGTGGTAAAATTTTGAGGTAGAGGGGGGTATCCTTAAATCCACTATTTTGTATTTATATTCTATACAATGATTATACTTTTGGTTAATCTAAGTCATATAACATACGAGTTTTTGTCTATTTAGCTTAGAGTTATCAACAGAGATACCAATTCTCGTTCATGACAGTTTCTAAATTTAATCAGATGTTTAACTTCGAGAAATGAGGAGAACAGAAAAATTTGGTCAAATTCACTTTCTGACATCACAACTGACATTTTATGATATTTCTCTTATTACATTTATATTTAGTAGAGCAATTTTTTTTAATCTCCTTCCTTGCGTTAGTTTACCGTTTGACCTGTTTTATTTTTCTGTTTGTCTTCAATAAAAGAAATTTTATGGTCGTTGAAAAACGGAAAAAAATTCTTTAATCTTAAGAATACAAAAGACTCATATGTTGCATTGAAAGGTTGAGCTAATGTTAAAAAATCTTTTCAAGTATTTAAGATAATAATGATTTATTATGTGAAAAAGATTTAAAGAATTTAGCAGTTGTTCGAATCCATTTTCGAGTCTTTTACTAACGTCAAAGCAGTAGCATGTAGATTTACTTTCGTGAATCTTTTTTTGATTCTACAAGCAGTCCGTTTTTATTGCAGGCTAAATACGTTAATTTTGTGATAGTTGTCTAAATACGCGTTCAGGGGAAAGGCGAATTAATAAAGTTTAAAATAATAAATCGATAAATCCTTATCTGATGCAGTAGACACTATTTCGAATCTATGGTAATAATTCAAGTTCAACTTGTGTTTCGTTACAGAATAGCATGCAGTAATAGACGGCTATTTTTCTTCAATTTTCTAACTTTGTAGTTTTTAAAAGGCTTTTCATAAAATAACTTTAAGTTGAATGTTTTCAAAAATAGTCAAATTGAAGATCTACCATTTTCACTAGAATCTGTTATAGTTTGAGACATTAATATTGCTTGAGTATGATGGATCAAATATTGATATTAGATGTTTTTATATATATGTTGCAAAAACAAATGAAATTCAGAAGAATTTAAAATATTCTTTGATTTATCCCTATAGAAAATATTTTAAATATTCCTAGCAAACAAGTTCTGTCACCTATGTCAATTATTTCTACACACATAAATAAAAAAAGTAATAGTGAATGCATCTAAAAGGAAAGAAATAAAGGCGTCTTAGTAAACAGTTAATAACTAACAGAAAACCCCTGACCTATAGATGAATGTAATGGGGCTTGCCTCGATTTTCAACTTTCAGGAGCAATGAAATATCAAATAAACGGTGGATCGTTGGAGATAATGCACCTTTTCATAGTAAAGGTCGTGGACGTTCGCTGATGGTTTCCGACTTCTTAGTAGCTCACGACTCGTCACCTTTTTTTCGTCTGACCAATAAGGAGTACGCCGACGCTGTTAAAAAATATCCGGAGCTCGACAATGACGATGATGTCGACTATGAAAGTAACTCTGCCACTGCCTTTATTGCGATCGGGACCGACTGTTACTTTGATATTTTATCACAGTTTACCAGACTATTTCAGCTTTTGGAATTTAAAAATGAATACAAAGGTCACCAGATTGAAATTATAGTGGACAACGCCACCACACATTCGAAAAAAGATTATTCGGTCACTGATTTTTCTAAAAAAGAAGGAACACGTTGCCCGGTACAGACAATAGAGTGGCTCGATGACCAGGACAAACTTCAAACTTTGAACTGTTTCTATACGAGTGGCAGCAAGAAGGGAGAAAGTAAGGGAATGGTAGTTCTCGGAAAAGAACTCGGATTGAAAGTGTCGAAAAAGATGACGGTCGACGAGCTAAGAAAAGAGTTGGGAAAACATCCAGCCTTTCAAACTGTAAGTTCCTCGTGGCGTTTTGCTAAGTTTCGGCCTTTGGATTTAAATTTTTGCTACTTATAGATCAGCAAGTTGGAGAAATTAGGAAATCGTTACGGTGTGCGTGTATTGTTTTTGCCAAAATACCACTGCGAGATGTCAAGTATTGAAGGCCTGTAGTGCAGTATGAAAGCTTGTGAGTCAATAACTGAAGCAATTCAGACCTTTCGCGTGCTGCAACTGTGTGACTCTGATGCAAATCTTATCCGTGTGTTTTAGACTGTCGGAAGTATGGTGAGCAGTCGTTTCCGAAAATGGTGCAGTTAGTCGGCGACGCACGGAAGAATTTTGAAGATAAAAAGATTGATCGTAAATTGCATCGCAGATTTTGGCGAACTTTACGTGCATACGACCAAGGTCAAAGTTACAAAGACGTATTATGTATGTTCTTTAGTAATCTATCAAAAGACAATATAATTTCTCATCGAAAGATTACGAACTCTAACTTGAACGTGAATTAGTATTTTTGGAACAGGCTTTTTGATATCTTGAGCTTTAGAACAG